AAAAAAAAAAAAAAAGAAAGAAAAAGAAAAAGAATAAAAAGAAATGGGATTTATACTGTTTCAGTTTAATAAAATTCTCAAGAGAAAGACAAAAAATGAGAAGAAAAAATATAATGCCTAAGAACTGTTAAAAATAAAATTCTCTTTCTGGTGCAGGATATGCAACATAGCTGTGGTTTTTAAGCTGCTTATGGCATTCTCAAACAGACTAATAAAAAGCTATTTACAGATATGGCCAATGTTGTGAAATTTTGCTTCATATCTCCCTATTATAGAAGCCTAATCTTCAAACAAGTAACTGCAGGTTAATCCACTTTAAGCGCACTAACCACAGGAAATAATCCATGGTAGTTTTTGTTATTTACACTACAACTACAAATCTCATATTCAGGACAATCACTAGCCTAGTCAGACAAAAATGAGTTCAACCTTAGAAAAAAAAAAAATTGTTTTCCCCCCAAAAAATGTATAGAATGCTTTCTTACAGAAACAGCATTTTTAAGTAGCACTCACACGCTAAGACAAAAAGAAAACTTCATGAGGTTATTACAAGAACTTTCACTTTCTGCAGCTTGAAATGGGAAGAAATAAAGCTGTGTCTGTAAGAACCAAAAAGAGGAGTCAAGCTACATACAACCAGACTAAGTAGGGATCCAAGCCTCTGAACATGGACTGGGGGTGCAGCTCAGTTACACAGCACATGCTTGCAACAGTAGAGTGCATGTTCTCAACGTGTTCAATCCCAGCACCAAACTTCATCAACAACAACAACAACAAAAAACCCAAGCTGAAGTCAGGGATGGTGGCACACGCCTATATCCCAGCACTCAGGAGCCTGAGGCAGGAGGATTGTTGCAAGTTTGAGGCCAGTGTGGGCCACAAAATGAGTTCAAGACAATCCTGAACTGCATAGTGAGACCCTGTCTCAAAACAAATACAAAAACAAAAACAAAAACAAAAACAAAAACCAAGCTGTCATTTCCAGGCCTCCTGTACTATGTATGATCAGGCTTCAGTATTCCCATCTGTAAAAATGGAACCGTTTTTTAGATCATTACTTAAAAGCAGTGTTGCTAGTACCAAAAAGTATTCTGAATAGGATACATTGTCACTGAAATTCAGGTTGCATAATTAACCTTGTTACATGTGCTACATATAAATACTCTACCTAACCAGGCATGGAGACCCATGCCTGTAATATCAGTACCCAGGAGGCTGAGGCAGGAGGATTTCTGCAAGTTCCAGGACAGCCTGAACTACATAGCAAGACCCTCTCAAAAAATAAATACATACATACATACATACTGTAAACACAAAATTATTCAGAAAGCTACAAGAAGACTACAGTATAGAATATGTTATGTGACTTACCAACTTAATAAATTTCAGTGACTAAGGTAACTAGTAAGGAATATATTTTAATTATAACACTATCAATAGTATATACACCACAATTCCTTAGTAACAGTAAATAAATAAGTAAAGGTGACCAGAGCTCAAGGCATATGCCTGTAATCTTAGCTACTTGGGAGACTGAGGCAAGACAACCCTTCTAAGTTCAAGGCCAGCTTAGAATATTTAGCAAGATCCTTTCTCAAAAAAGAAGGCTTGGGGCTGGGGATTTAGCTCAGTGGCACAGCACCTGCCTGGCAAGCGCAACATCGTGAGTTCGATTCCCGGTACCGGAAACCCTCCCACCCCAAAAAAAGGCGGCTTACCGCAAGGTGGGGAGCACCGGCCTTTTGGCCGGCCCCTAGCCACACAGGCACCCAGGAGGCAGGCAGCTGGTGCCCGGGAAGCCGCATGGTAGCCCTCACACCAGCCACTACCATGCAGTCAAGAACTATCGTGGCACAGAGAAGAAATGACACAATTGGCCCACCACTCACTGGCTGCGGAGGCCCACCCAGGGACATGCATAAATCATCCTGACATGGAGAAACCCCTGGGAATACATGCCACACAATGGGTCACTCTTGCCCCTGCAGTTGAGAACCAGGAAGGTCCAGAGTCAGTGGAGGAGCAGCTGCTGAACAAGGACTCAGAGAACACGAAAATACAGTCTACTCCTGTAGACTCAGAGGTCTAGTTGACTTGGGGTCACGAGAGCCGTTCGGAAGCTGGAAACCAGGAGGACCTTGCACAATACCTGGGGAGACCCCCTGGAAGCCATTCTTGCCCTGACAGTACAGGCTGTGGTGGTAGAGCCTGAGGAGCTCCGGAGAGGTCTGCACCGAGATTCCTGCTGCCTGTGCTGACGGTTGGGGAGCGGGCACTAAGTGGTTGTGGGGTCCCAATGTGCTGCGAGGCTGGAGAGAAAAAGCTACAAAAAATGGCTTTCGCCTCAGATGGCTCACTTGAGATCTTAGGAAGAATTGCCTCCTCAGTATTCTATAGCCATGACAAGGAGGAGGCCAAGGAGAGAAAACAAAGAGACAGAAAAAGCAGCTGCTTTTGCTGCAGCACTAAGAGAAACAGACCCTAAGTCTGACTCTCAGGGCCCCAAAAAGAACTTGATCACTACATTCACCTGCTACCACTGTTAAAAGCCAGACCACCTCAAGAGGTACTGCCCTAAGAAGCCTCCTAGGCCATGCCCTGAATGCGAAGGTGACTACTGGAGATCGGTCTGCCCTCTGAAGCTGAGGCCCCAGAGCTCAGACCCATCCTACCAGTTAGTCTAACAGGAATGAAGGGGCCCGGGGCATACTCTGCCTTATCCCTCTGACCAGACTGTCATCTCCATGAAGGAGCCCTGGGTAATCAGGACTATAGAGGAAAAAGAAAACAGCCTGTTGCTAGACACAGGTGCAAGTCTCTCAGTCCTTCTTTTCAATCCTGGCCTTCCTTCCAGCCGTCACACCTTAGTGAAAGGAGTCACTGTTGAGGAGGTAATACCCTATTTTTCACAACCCTTAGGCTGTAACTACTTGTTAGGTCTTTCTTGTGTATCTCTGTCTTCCTGAGAAACCACTTTGAAGATACCACCAAGTATTACAGCAGCCATTGATATTTTCCTACTAATCTGTCCATAACTCTGTAATGTTTGTATTGTTCCTACGCTATTTTGTAAATGGATGTATGTTTATTACTATGTGTTTCCTACAACAACCATTGAGAACAGTCAATGAATATTCAATTGGTCACTCATGTATAGCTCTATTTATTTTCTTTAGAAACCACTTTGAAGATACCAAAGTATAGTACAACAACCATTGATAATAACCTACCACTTTTGTCTGTAACTCACTATTACTTGTCTATTTGTTTTCCTGAGAAACTATCTTGTAGATAACAATATGTAAAACAACAACCACTGATAATTTCCTACCACTTTGTCTGTAATTTGTCAGCCCCCCTATTACTATGTTATCCTTCTTTTACTCTTTAAATAATAAAAAATAAATAAATAAAAAAGAAGGCTTACATAGCATGCACCAGACACTGTATTCAAGCCCCAGTATTTAAAAAAAAAAAAAAGTATTAGTAGTCAACAA